TCTCCAGACAGTGAAAATCCATTCAGCTGCACAAATCACTGGTGGTGCATACATTATAAACATAACAATAGACCTTTTAAAAAGACCTAATGTATCTAGACAAATTGTCCTTTAAAATAAACAGGCAACGCTGGCTGTCAAAAAATTCTACCAACCAACCAACCCACCCTTCACCTGTATATCTAACATAAGTCACTTTTTCTGAAGGCAAATAGAACAGTAACACTAGACCCTGTCCAATATCCCATTTGAGGTTCAGTCTGGTGTGTCAGTGACCACCTCTCTCAATTAAACACCTCAGTAATAGATACATAGGTTTGAAGCACTTCATATAGCAAGACATGGATATAAATAAGTAATTCACATACTAAGCAAATAATTTCTTTCCTAGCCACTTGGCATAAAGTAAGTGGAGTGTGCACTGCCTGGTTAGAAGATGTGCATCACACCTTTCACTGCACAGGAAGCTGCAGGAGTTACTTTAATAGTTGGACTGTGTTTAATGTAAGAAGTATCTGGCTCTGTGGTTTCCGGGAAATGGTGCCTCAAACAACCACAGCTACTTTGTCAAAAAGACAACAACATTTTGGGTGCTTCTGTCTCAAGGCACTGCACTAAGAGCACAGAGTGCTCCAGGCGCTGAAAGAGCCTTAAATAAGATGCAATTTAGTTTTTAAAAGTCAATAATTGCTTCAGCTAGTTGTATAACTGAACCACCAATAATTTTAAAATTAAAACAGGATCTCAAAAGATTCCTCGAGAAGCAGGAAGCTGTCAGCTTGTGCTTGCTGGAGTGGCTCTTAAAACTTCCCAGACGACTGTACCCCTTTCAGGAGTCTGATTTCTCTTGTGTATCCCAAGTTTCACCTCGCTTAAAAATCAGACACAAAAATACAAAAAAAAGTGTCAATGCATTATTACTGACAAATCACCTTTTCCTTTTTACCATATAATTACAATAGTTCTATTCCAATGGATTTAGTTTTAGGGCTGTCAATTCATTGCAGGCCAATGCTCAAACCACTGAGCTATCCCTCCCCCCATAATTAACTCAAATTAATTGCACCATTAAACAATAAAATACCAAATGAAAATTATTAAATATTTTGGATGCTTTTCTACATTTTCAGATATATTGATTTCTATTACAACACAGAATAGACCGTGTACAGTGCTCACTTTATATTATTTTAATTACAAATATTTGCACTGTAACAATTATAAAAGAAATAGTATTTTTCAATTCACCTAATACATGTACTGTGGTGCAATCTCTTTATTGTGCAAGTGTAATTTACAAATGTGGTTTTTCTTTTGTTACCTAACTGCACTCAAAAACAAAACAATGTTAAACTTTAGAGCCTACAAGTCCACTCAGTCCTACTTCTTGTTCAGCCAATCGCTAAGATAAACAAGTTTGTTTACATTTTACGAGAGATCCTGCTGCCTGCTTCTTATTTGAAGGGACATATGAATTTTTAGCGCATCTGGCACGTAAATATCTTGCAATGCCAGCTACAACCGTGCCTTGCGAACACCTGTTCTCACTTTCAGGTGACATTGTAACAAGAAGCACCGGGCAGCATTACGTCCTGCAAATTGCAACCAAAACTTGTTTCCCTGAGCTTGATTCACTGAAGTAGGATTGAGTGGACTTGTAGACTGAAGTTTTACATTGTTTTATTTTTGAATGCAGTTATTTTTTTAGACATAATTCTACATTTGTAAGTTCAACTTTCACAATAAAGAGACTGCACTACAGTATTTGTATTAGGTGACCTGAAAAATACTATTTCTTGGTTTTTACAGTGCAAATATTTGTAATAAAAAAATATAAAGTGAGCACTGTATACACGTTGTATTGTGTTGTAATTGAAATCAATATATTTGAAAATGTAGAAAACATCCAAAAATATTTAAATAAATGGTATTCTTATTGTTTAATCACATGATTAATTGCTATTTTTTTTAATTGCTTGACAGACCTATTTATTTTATACTTACATTTCAGTCTATAGAGCAGTATAAACAAGTCATGGTCTGTATGAAATTTTAGTTTGTACTGACTTTGCTAGTGCTTTTTATGTAGCCTGTTGTAAAACTAGGCAAATATCTAGATGAGTTGATGCACCCCCTGGAAGACCTGTGCGTACACTCAAGGGCATGCGTACCCCTGGTTGAGAGCCACTGGTTTAGGGGACGTTTGAAGAAGAGGCTACAGCCTTAGTAATTTCAAAAAGGGCATCCCATTTGTCAGGAATCTGGTTGTTTGCATTAAACCAGGGGTTCTCAACCTTCATTGCAATGTGACCTTCTGACAACAAAAATTACTTCATGACCCCAGGAGGAGGGACCGAAGCCAGAGCCCTGCCGCCCTGGGTGGGATAATCAAAGCCTGAGCTCCACCACCCTGGGTGGGAGGGCCAAAGCCCAAGGGCTTCAGCCCCAGGCAGGGGGCCTGTAACCTGAGCCCCGCTGCCCAGGGCTAAACCCCTCAGGCTTCAGCTTCCACCCCAGTGGTGGGGCTCAGGCTTCAGCCCGGACCCCAGAAAGTCTAAGCCAGCCCTGGTGACCCCATTAAAACAGGGTCATGACCCACTTTGGGGTCCCAACCCACAGTTTGAGAACCGCTGCATTAAACCAAAAGGTAAATGAACACATTTGTATTTTCTGCACAAGCTTTGCTAACAGAAAACACCTGCCTTCAGCCCCCAAGAGCCTCCAGCCTCACTCGTGCATTAGTCGGCAAAGCAGCACTTCCTCTTGCCCAGGTCACATTCTGCAGCCCTTGAGGTGTGCTGCTACTTGCATACCAATTTTTGTTTGTGAAAAAGTTATTTTTGCAGACAAGCATTAGCTCACTTTATAAGTGAAATAGGTTCTTTTCTAACTGCCAGGCTGCCAACTGCCTGGGGCTCGGCCAGCCAAACTTCCTACCAAACCACCCCTAATGAAAGTTTTACAGGCCAAATTGGTTCCCAAATTATATCTGTGCAACCCCAGTGGCTTCAGAGTCTACCCTCTGACACCTGTGCAACCCCCACTGCCTTTCCTGGCGGAGCAGCTGTAACCAACTGCAATTGAAACAATTCTGTTGCCTTCTAAGATTGACTAGAACCCTGTTAGATCAGAGGAGTCAGTACAGTAACGGGAGAAAATCATCTTTGATGCTGAAAAACGCAGGCAGCCGGACATTTGAGTGAGATGTGGTGCTTTTCCCCCTCCTCCTTTACATAGTGACTTCGCAAAGCCAGCCCCACTGAGCATGTGAACCTCCAGAATGCTGCATGCCTAGAGGGACAACAGGCTGCGGTCATGTGTCCTTTATCTCATGCAGGAGTAGAGGCCCAGCTATACTTGGAAACTTACAGAAATAGCCATTCTGAAATAGTTATTTCCCTGTAAAACCCTGTGCGGATGCTTTTATTCCAGAATAATTGTTCCTGTCAAAGAGGATTAAGCTACAATCTGAAAAAGGTTCTCCATTCCAGAAGAACACCCACCCAGGGGTTATAGCCAACAACCATTCTGCTGTAACTATTCTAGAATAGCTATTTTGTTAATTTCTAGTTAAATAGCATCTCAGAGGGAAATTCCAGCATCATTCAGAAGGATATTAATGGCTGGGATTTAAAAAATAGTTTGCCAATCAGTATTTGCTCTTATTTCCCAGTGTCTATACATTGTGGACGTCTCAGAGGATGGGTAACTGAAAATAAAGAACCTTTCTCCTCTAAGATAACAGGCCCAAGTCAGTCCAGATCAGTAGTGGCAAGAAGCAGTTACACTCCATCAGCTGGTCCTGATACAGAAAACTTCAACCTCAGTACCCTTCCTGCTAATCTCAGCAGAGAAATCACCATGCTGATTGAATCACCTCTGTCCCTCCAGGTAAAATCTACAGAGCATAGATTGAGTGTAGTTTATGGAAGCTTTGAGTTAGCTCTCATGTAACTTAGGTGCATTTTATGCAATCAACCAAAAAGTCTGCTATTTCCAGGCTCTAGGCACATGTACATATAAATCAAACTAAAATGACAATTCACCTACAAAATCTCCTCCAAAACAGCTGAAGCAATGAAAACCTAAGTGGATATAGAGGATATCAACAGGGTGCTTTTTACAAGCACAAAATTCAAAGGAAAAATGGTTAGATTATTTCTAATACTTCTAAATAGATTTTATGACTATTAGTGGCTGGTGGAACGGAAGCTTTACCTGCTCCATGGACTGGTGATATATTGCAATTACATCAAGTGTCAAAATATTTTCAAAATCATCGTGGTTTAAGCTTTTTAAAGTGTTACCACTTTGCAATACTCAGTAGAATCCAGGGACTGTAAAGTGAGTTCAAAACCTCTGCAAACTTAGTTTAACTTTTTAGATCCACACTATTTGGGCAATTCTGCCTAATGAAGTGACAGAACGTAGGTTACAGCATCCAATCGAGATCTGCATTTATGGACATCATTTGACAGTTACAAGAGGAGGTTGGCTGAGCCATCTTATAGGATCCTGGTTTTCAGAAGCAGTGGATCACCTGCCTTCTCAAAAACAAGGCCCCTGCAAGGTGCCTTGATTTGGGCACCCACCATCACTATTTGCTTTTGAAAATGGAGGCCCGTAGTTTTAAAGAGCTGGGGAAAGCAAGGTGGCCGTCTGCATGCGTAGGGGTTACACGAAGCACGGGCAGAAGGCTGGCATGGAGGGAAGACAATTTCCATTGCCTTAGTGCTGTTTTGTTTTCTCAACAGATCAAGAAAACAAAAGTAGGAGCTTATTGTACATCTTAGGCAACAAGTATTCTCAACTCTACCTTTTTATTAGAAGAACTATTCTACATGGCTTCAATCTTGCCTAGATATTTAAGAAAACTCTACCTCAGTTCTTGCTTTAAATTGACAATACCTGTTTGGGGAAACCCAGTCATGTAAATTCACACCCACAGAGGTCTTTTCAGTACTGTGTATAAGCAGTAACAAATGCACTCCAACTTCCAGTAGTTTTTGTAAAGGTTTATAGTCCTTTGCAATGATTGCATGATACATTTTCTTCCCCCACAATACAGTCCTTAAACCAGGAAGTGCCACTGGCAGCTTAGGCCCCACCTTCTAACAGCTGGTCTTTGCAATCAGATCTATGCTAGCTGCAGAACATCAAATGCACTTTCAACATCTCCATTTAATATTTACATTCAAGCAATTAATAATAGGAAGCTTATAGTTTAGACATTTCTAGTAGCAGCAGTTTCTATAATAGCTTGTTTAGCTTTAGATAATGAACTTATTTTTTTCACATAGAAACAACACATGTACAGTATCAAAAAATATATACCAGGGAATGGTCCTGCAGCTCATGAAGACAGGTCAAAGGAATGAGACTAACAAATGCTGAATGGTTAAAAAGAACAGAAAATATTTGTTTGATATAGTTTATAAGGGGATCTAGGGACTCCATAAATCTAGGATTTATATTTCATTATATAAATACCTACAAATAAATATATTCGCATGGCCAGAGAGGGACCAGCTTTCAGCTCAAACAATACATTTCAATAACACCACGTACAAACGGGGGCAAGAATCACTCGACAAGTTAGCACTGTTAAAATATAATACTATGTAACTCTGAGTAACTGGCCGGCCCCATCCTCGTGTGTCCTGATACCTGCAAGTCCTGGGCATGCCCTGGGACCGCAGCGATGGAGCAGCAGTAGAGGATACCCCCAGCATAGCAGGGGTAGAGTCACTGTGTCCCACCCACCCCTCCTCTTGGGCAGGGAGGCATCTGGTGGGATCCTCCCTGCATGAGTGCTGCAGTCACCGTGGTGGGGAGGGGAGGGAGATGGGTGTCAGGGCAGTGACAATACCTTTGAGGGGGTCGAGGGGCAGGCAGCTCCAGGATAGTGTCAGGTCCCTCCCCAGGGGGAGCAGCCTCTGCCCCTTCACACTGTCACATACTCCTTGAAGGTCACGGTCAGGCAGTTCGCGGTCACATCCGTGATAATTATATTTCCAAAGAAGGGCTTGAACTCCTGCAGGGGCTCTGCCTCTCCCTCCCCGTCCGCCTCCTGCTGCTGTGGCTCTACTGCCGGCTTCTCCGTCAGCACCTGCGCCACCTCTGGCTTCACCTGCGCCACAGCCAGCTCACCCTCACCCCGGGGCTTGACACAGCGCAAGTCTATGGGCTCGTCCAGGTCCGAATCCAGCAGGATGACCTCTGGCTGGGAGGTGGCCGGAAGAGGGTGCTCGGGCCTCTCTGGTGCTTGGGGGCTCAGGCAGGTGGGGGCGCTGATGCTCCGTGAGGTGAGGCGCTTCTTGCCTGGCTCCCTCTCCTCATGCGGCTCAGAGAGGCAGCGCTTCCTGGAGCCCGGGCTGGAGAGATTCAGTCCCATGGGGGCAGGGCTGTGCTCCCGGCTGGGATCCAGGGACCAGGGCACAAGGTTGGGCTTGGTGGTGAGTTGCAGGGGCTGCTCAGAGGGAGGAGGTGCTTCCTTGGCAGGGGGAATCTTTCTGGGGCTCCTTCCGAGCTCTGTGAGGGGTTGGCCCCCCTCAAGTCCAGCTTTGCTCTTGTGGTCAGTGCCGGCCACCCTCTCCTCCCCATGCTTTCGCCAGGCCTCCTGCTTTTCCTCCCCGCCCTTCCTGGGAGTCCTCTCCTCAGTGGTCCGCTTCCTGGGCGGTTCCCCAGACTTGATCTTCACGGCCTGCATGCCATTCTCCATGTACTTGCTCATGACGATCACAATGCGCCCGTTCTTGTTCTTATTCTTGACAATCTTCATTTTGCCCCCAATGCCGTTGCTGGTCACGCCATCACGGGAAGGCGGCCCAGTGCCACTAGACAGGTTCTTCTCTGCTCCATTCTTGCCCTCTGTAGCCAGGTTCTTGACGGGGCTCAGCAGGCTCTTGGCTGGGCTGTGAGCCCATTTGTCTGGATGGGTGACCAAGGGGCTTTTGCTGTGGTCCAAGCAGGCCTGACTCTGTGGCTCCTTGCTGCTGGGCTGGTAGTGGGGCTCGTACATCTTGGGGTCAGGCTGGTAGTGGTGGTGCTTCTTGCTGTTCAGCTGGTAGTAATACTTCCCTTTGCTGTGTGGCTGGTGCTTCATGCTGCTCTCCTTCCCATTGGGCTGGTACTGGTGGTGCTTCTTGCTGTTGAGTTCGTATTGATGCTGCTGGCTCTTGCCGGAAGAGTTCAGCTCGAGCTTCGGCCTGTTGTCCACAGCAGGGTCCTGTAGCCCAGTGAGGACATTGGAGCGCCGTGCGAACGAAGGGAGCTGCAACACAAAGTCAGCACGTTTAGCAAGAGCCCGTCAAGGGGCTGCTTCAGACAAGAGATCAGCACTTCTGCAGGAGTCCATGCAACCAGCTTATGCACACCCAGTAAAACAAAGCAGTCAGAGCAGCTGGCAGGAAGGGACACTCTAGGCCTGAACATAAAAAGCGGTGGCCTGTTCCTGACCTAAAGGCTCCATGTTGTTGGAGATTAATTAGAGGCAGTAAAAAGTACCCTTCAATCAGTTGTCCCTATTAGGCAAGGGTAAATCGTAGGTGAAATACACCCAAGGAAAGAGTACAGATTGCTGAGGAGAGGGGCAGCTAAAAATGCAAACAGCGTCAGCACAGCTTAAGAAAGCACTGTGTGTACAGCCACCTTCTTCTTGCCAAAGCAAGTCTTCAGCAAGGCTTAGCACCGCATGTTACTGCCACCTCCTGTCACATGGGGCAGAAGCTAAGTTTATAACCAGAGACAGATCCATACAAATACAATGACGAGATGGGGAATGAGATCTGCCAGGAAAGAAATACCCAGGAACTCCCCTGCAAGGTAGCCACCAGGAAGTGTATTCCTGCAGCAATGGGCTCCTTCTCTTCTCTGTTTCTGGGGCCTGTCCCAATTTATGCTCATTGTTACACTGAGATATTGTGCATGTTTGATTGAATGATGAAGTCAGATTTGGGATTGGGGGAGTGGTTGGTTGTGGAGAGGAGTGGGAGGAGCTTCATCTGGCATTTAAAATTAACAAGGGATTTGTATGTACACACTGATCCTGAGCATGATGAAACCAGATGAAATTCTCCTCCCTGGAGATGGGAGGAAACAAGGGAGTTTATATTAAAAACAAAACGAAGTGGCTTTAATCAGTCTATTTGGAAAGATCGCCATTTAGAGATTGCATTTACTTTCCGGAGTGTGAATTTTCCTAAAAATGGCTTTCCTTAGGAAAAAAACACATTGTGGCTCATTGCATTCACCTGAACGACCAGCGGCTTCGGTTTTGGTCCTCGTTTGCGGTATCCCATCAGCTGCTCCTGCCGCTCCCTGCAGGAACATAAAAATCAATCGCGATGCAATTACTTTCCTACAGCACGCTGGAGAATTGGGGGGGGGTCGTTAATTCTCGGTACACATCACTTAGATAGAGGCACATTACAATGAAGAACAGGGGCCAACAGTGTGTAAAGCAAAGACGCGAGCTGCTGAGGCTCGTAGGGGAACTTTCCCGCGAGCCAGCAGGACTGGTTTGTCCTGGGAATCGCCAGCGAGCCGCCCAGTCTCCCTCCCGCACACACTAAAGACCTCCCCGAAAAAACCAACCAGCCACAGCAAATCCCTCGCTGCGGTTCCACAGCCAAGTGCAGATCACACAAAAAGCCACCGGGATTTCCAGAGGATGCTGGAGCCCAGCGCTGTGACAACGGCATCGTATGCAATAGCGGGCCACGAACTCGAGCGCTGGGCAGAGGCCGGGAGCCGGAGCCCCCCGGCGCAGCAGGCGGGACCCTGGGACGGGAGGCCGGGCGAGCTGTGCGCGGCATGTGCCGCCCGGGACCCGCGCGGCGGCGGCGAAGCTAATGATCTCATTAGGATTCACAGGACGAGCCCCGCCAGCCGTCACTCAGAATCGCTGCCTTAAAGGCCAATGTCTCCGCGGGGGGAGGGGCCGCTGGGGCTGAACCAGCCAATTGCAGGGGGGGGGGGAGGCCGGGGGCTCGTCCCCCCTAGAGCGCCGGGCTCCGCGGGGCCTGGCCGGATCCTGGGCAGTGCCAGCATCGCTCGCTGCCTGCCCGGACGGGGGCTTCAAGGTGATTAGCCCCCCGACCCGTGCGCCGGGGGGCGGGCCAAGTGGGAGCGGGCCCTGGGCACGGCCCCGCTAGCCAGCAGCCGGGGAAGGGCCGGGAGCGGTTCGCCAATACGGCCCGCGGCTGCAGGGCTGCAATCAGCGCATCTGCTCCGCGCCAGTGCGCCCGGCGGTGCCTGGGCCGCGGAGCCGTGAACTCCCTCGGCAGCGCCTAGCACTCGGCCGGGCAGGACGCGCCCAGGCGGGGTCGCTCCGGAGCCGCGGAGAGACGGGTCCCCGGCGCTAGCCGCCTGCCTGCCACGGGCTCGAGTCTACAGTTTGCGCCAAAACACCGCAGGAAATAATGCGCCAAACGCGAGCGGGGAGCAGCAGCGCCGCCGCCTCCACGCGGGGGCGTCCAGTTCCCCAGGCAGGCGAGCGAGCGGGGGGGCTGCAGGGACAGGCTGGGGCCGTTAGCCGAGGGTCATGCACCCAGCAGCTCTCCGGGCAGGCGGGCCTGCAGCTCGCGAGCTTGTCCCTTGGAAGGTGCAATCTCCGTCCCGGACAGGGCCGGTTCTCCCATCGCCCCGCTACTGCACACGCGACACCCCCTGCCCTGTCCCCGCAGCCGAAATGCCCGGAGCCCGCCCGCCAACCTGCGGCCCCGAAGGGGTTAAGTGAAGTTCCGTGACGCATTCACAATTGCACAATGCCAGCTCGCTGCGAGCTGCGCTCCGGCTCGGCTCTGCAAGGGGGCCGGGGCCGCCAGTGCCCAGCTCGGCGCAGGGCATTCCGCCTGCAAGGCCTGGCCCCCGCGCCACCCGGGCTGCCTTAGTCCTCCCCCACTAAACCCAGGCCAGGCAGTGGCCCCACTGCCACCCGCCCCTTCCCTCCCCGCGAGCTCCAGCAGCGCCGCCTGGGTTCTGCGCCTGCCTCCCCCCCCCCTCCCGCTGCAGGCCGGGTCCGCGCAGGAGCGCAGCGCTCACCTGTTCTGGAACGCGATCAGCAGCCTGGGGTCCAGGATGTTTTCCTCCGGTTCCCACGTGTTATATCTTGCAAGGGGGAGAAGAAGCTCCATTGAGCAACAGACCGGGTTCCCCCCCCCAAGGGAGACGGGGGGTGGGGTCTCCCCTCGCCGGAGAGCTGCCAGGGGCCATCTTACAGGTTAGGCACATTGAATCCACGCGCACCTGGACCCACTGCGGAGGGCGCGTTTGGAACTCCAGCTACCCGGAGAGGGGGAGGGGCGGGGGTGTTTATTTAGCGCAGTTGTTATTCCCGAAGAATCCTAAGCATGCCAGGATGCGATTTCCCAAAGCCCCTGTCCGAGCCCCACTGACACCCGTGGTGCTGATCAGGGTCTAAGCAGCAGAGTCCAAACCCCAGAGCCAATGCAAGCCCCTCCCTGCAAGACACTGTCATGCAAACCCCAACTACTCCGCCACCCGCAAACATCTCCTTCTCTTCGGTGCTCAGAGGCAGGGTTTGCCTCCCCCCCGCCCCGTGGCAGCGCCCCGGTGGCAGCCCCCTGCCTCCTCCTCGGCCAGGATCGGGGGCTTAGGACCGGCGGGGCGTTTTATTTCGTGTTTTAAATTATTTCCCCCCGGCTCGGTTCTGCAATATGGAGCCTGGCTCCCGAGGAGGGAAAGGGGGAAGGAGCCATTTTCTGCTGCACATCAGTCACCGTCTGCCTCTCTCTCCCTCCCCTTGCTTCTGCCGGGCTCCCCGGTCCCCTCTGGCCTCTCCCCAGCCTCTCTTGGAGCATGCATTGGCGGTGGCATTTCCCGGCGCAGAAAGCATCGGGGTGGGGGGGCTCTCTGCAGCTCGGGCTGGGCCGGGGATCCTGCGCCCGCAGCCCCGCTCCCCGCCTGGGTACTTACTTGGGGGACCAGCCTCTCCATTTCACCAGGTACTCGACTCTGCCCTGGGGGGGAGGGAAAAGGGAAGGCGTCAGCTGCAGCCCCGCTGCCTCGGCGGAGCCCCGACCTCCCTCCCTCCCGCACCCCCCGACTCCCCGCTTGCAGCCTCCCGCTCCGCCTCACCTTGCGGATCCGCTTCTTCTCGATGCTCTCCACGGCGAAGACGTGCTCCCCCACCGCGGGCAGCTCCATGCTGGGGAGGGTCCGAGCGCCCGAGCTCGCCGCACTCCGCCTCCTGCGCCCGCAGACACTGAGCTCCAGCCGCCGCTGCACCGCAACTCATGCAAATCCCGGCCGGAGACGTCAGGCGGGCGGGGCCTCCCCGGGCCGGGCTGTCCGTCAAGGGGAGTCGGGGCGCGCGGATTGGCGCAGATCTGCCGGGGAGCGCGAGGGGGAGGAGACTGAGAAAGGGGCGGGGTCAGCGGATGGGGGGGGGGGAGCTGGGGGCTGTTGCGCTGCGGGCGGGGGCAGCGCTCAGCCAGGGGCCCCGTGTCCCGCCGGCTCCGCGCAGCGCTTCCAGCAGCGGGCAGCAGAGCGACCGGGGGGGCAGGTGTCTGCCCCCCACCCCGTCCGCGGCCAGCGGGGGCTGGGGGGGGCGAAAGGGGCAAGGAGCAGCGGGGGGGCGGGGGGATGTTACACTCGGTGCAGAAATAGTCCCAGCCCCGGGTTCCGTCCGATCCCGCATTCCCGAGTCCTCCGAAATAGCGGCTCGGGGATCCCCGAGCCCTTGCGCGCGGGCTGCGGGCAGAGCGCTTGGAGATCTGCAGGGCGGCGGGCGCGATGCCGCCTGACCCCCGAGGCGCCGCCGGAGGACGGGTCGGGAGGGAGGGAGATGGAAGAGGAGGGGAGCCCAGGGAGAGCGCAGGGCTAGAGACGTGCAGGAGCCGGGAAGATGGAGGGAAGGACTGATGCGAACGAACGGGCGCTATAGAGAAAGGCGGGAGGGGACGGGAGGAGGAACCAGAAGTGCTGGGACTAGAAGAGGATGGGCCGGGAGCTAAACCAGGTTGGCTGGGAGGGGATGGAGGGAGGAGGCCCCACGTGGTACCGAGAACCTGACCGGGGGGTGGGGGGAATGGAGGGGCTGAGAGAGAAAATAGGACTCCGAGAAATGGAGCCGGGGAGTGAGCCGACGAGAAAGGAGGGGGCAGGATGGAGGCAGAGCGCCGAGGAGGGCGGCGAGCTGTGGAAGTCGAAGGCCCAGGAGCCCTGGCCTCTCCCCTGCAGCGTGCCCGGGATCCCGGGGAGGAAAGGCTTGCCCTGCACAAAAAGGGGGGCTGCTCTTTGGAGGGTTTAATGGTGGCCTCGAAGGGAAGCGATGGACACAGGCCAGCCCGCGGCTGGGGAGCTCCCGTTGCTGTCCGAATCCACCGCGTCCCTAACGAACACATTGCCAGCAGAGCCCGAGGCAGGGTCCGCCGAGCAGGGCTGGCAGAGCCGCGCTCAGCGCCAGCCAGGTGGGCACCACATGCAACCCGCGAAGCTCCTGGCAAGTGCTGAGGGAGCGCAACCGCCGCCGCCTGTCCACCCGTCAGCCGCCTCGCTGCCCCCACGCCGCGGCGTGCAACTGCCTGCTCACCCCGAGACCCGGACCGGGGAGGAGGGGAGCGAGCGGAGCAGGAGGGAATTCCCCAAGCCCCAGGGGCCTGGAGACAACGGAGCGCTGCAGAGGCCCCGCCCGTTTGCACTGGATCCAGGAATCGCTCCAGAGGGGCGAAACGATTTCCCTGGTCAATAATTGAATGCGCATTTGCAAAGTGCGAGGCAGGGTCTGATTATCTCCTTGCGCGCGCCCCGGTGCCAGGTGCAGACCTAGAGTGACAACTTATTTTCTGTCCTAAGGGAAGCCAACGTGCCAGGGCTGGGACAGTGCCGAGCGATCCCTTTCTAGCCCTGCCCTGGGAACCGGGGTGCGGAGGGAGCACGGGAAGCTGACCCGGGAATCTCGGGGAAAGGGGCTGTACCGCTCGCCGGGCGGAGGGAAGGCGCATCCTGCGCGCTCCGGACCCGCCCGTTTTGAACAGCTCGCAGAGCGGTGCATCGCTGTTTATTTCCCATCTACAAGCGGAGGCTCGTGCGGGGCCAGCGGGGGCCGGATCGTGAGAAACCAGCCCCGCAACGCAGCGGCGCCTTCCCGGGTGCACAGCCCCGGGAGAGTGGGACCTGGGCGAGCGCGCCCCTCTCCGTGTCCCCACCTGCGCGGCTGCTAGAGAGGCGGTCGGCCTGGGACATTAGCAGAGCCCCGGGCGCCTGGGTGGGACTTGGAGCTGAGGAGACTGGCCAGAGTCCAGCGTGGAACCTGCGCCGTTGGGGAGCGTCGGGCCGCCCGGTCAGTGGAACTGGCCAGGTCCCCCAGCGATGGGCAACAACGGGATTCACCCGGCCGCAGAACAACGCGGGGCAGCTGGGAAGGGGGTGGGGGGAGAATTTCCAGAGCGCATCTGTGAAATCCCCGCTCCCTGGAGCGCGATTAATCCGGCCCTTGGGAAACACATCTCCGGACTCGAGTGCTGGGGATCCCGCGTGGGGAGCTCCCCGGGGAGCCGGATTTCTCTGTCCCAGGAGAGCCCTTCCCTGCCGCCCCTTCCCCGCCCCTGGACTGAAATACACCGCGCGGGCTGTGCGTAACGCCAGGCCCAGGGCTAGCGCATCTGGGGCTGTCCAGTGGGGAGGGGACCGCGGCTGTCATTGCCCTTCGCCTCCCTTCTTCGCAGCCGGAGCCTTCGCGGGAGCAAACGGAGGCAGAGAAGAGCCGGTTCTAATACCGAGGGGAAACAATCGCACGAGATTTCCTCGCAGGGGGAGACTTTTGATTCTTGTTTTTATTTAAAGACAATCCCCCCCCCCCCCTGAGCTGCGTGGCCAGACGGGCGGAGGTGTGAGCAGGAGAGCCGGGAGGACGGAGAGTGACAAGCAGTGACATGCCCTGGGCTGGGGCTGGCGAGGAACCGCGGAGGAGGCGCTCGCTCCGTCTCAGCACAGAGATTGCTTTTCGGGGAGTCCCGCGGGCTTTCCGGCCAGGGGACGATTTCCCCACTGGTGTCAGGGTGGAGGCCTCTGCGGATCCAAACCACTTCTCCAAAAGTCCGGGGAAAGCCGGCTTGAGTCTTCCTCTGACACCAGTGGGAGCTGGGCTCGTGGGCATCTTCCCTGCCCACCCCACGCACGGGCTCGCGCCTTTCCCCCTTGGGGATACAATTTAGCAAGTCGCGTCTCCACCTGAAGCCGAGGCGAAGCTGCGGCCGGGGACTCGCCAGGGGAGGCTCAGAAGAAAGCAGCAAATCAGAGCGCGGGGCTGGCAGGTGAATCCTGCAGAGCCAAGCGAAGCAAGCGCGAGGCAGGCAGGAAAATGTCAACAGAGTCTTGGGGCTCTGCGCAGCTTCGGACGTGTCTCGAGGCCTTTCGGGGGCTGCCCCCGCCCCCAGCTGCAGGTAACTGGCACGGGCTCGGCTTTATTCCGTGCAGGGAGCCTGCGCCGCTGCCTGCGCTCGGGGCGGCGTTGCCAGCCACTGGCCCGGCCAGTCGGTTACCGAGGGGCCCGGCTGCGCTGCTCCCTCCAGCCGCGAGTCCGAGGGGACATCTCCCCGAAAGCGCCGTGCCCCGGGAGTCGGGCGGCACAGAGCAGGATTCCCCCCCCCCCCAGTTAATTAAACTACCTTCCCCACGCGGGTTTTCTCGGCGCGTGGAGGCGCTTTGGGACCCGCGCAGATACCGCACCCGGGAATGACCAGTGAACGATTCAGCAGGAGGCTGAAACCCCCCCTCCCTTAACATGCCCAGGAGGGCGCCCCAGAGCCCGCCCCGAGGTGCTGGAGCTGGGGGTTGGCTGGTGACCTGAGCTGCCCCCGCTGCCCAGGCCGGACACGCTGCGAGACTCCCCTGGGGTGTGCCGGGGGGCCGGTTCCGAGGGACCAGTGACCGCAAGGGGAGCTCCAGGGCAGGCGGGGAG